ATTGAAAAACACTCTCACTAGTATTGACACAAGTTCAATTTGCTTTTGTATGTGCCTTGGGGGAGGGCACCATCTTCTCTTTTGCCTCAGGCAGCAAAATATCTTGAACTGGCCCCATAAATAAATAGTGCCATCTCCTCAAGCTTTGTAAATAAGTACAGTCATACCTCGGGTTACAGACGCTTCTGGTTTCGCGTTTTTGGGTTGCGCACCACGCTGAACCCGGAAGTACCAGAATGGGTTACTTCCAGGTTTCGGCACTCGCACATGTGCAGAAGTGCTAAATCGCACTTTGCGCATGCGCCGAAGCGCTGAATCACGACCCACACGTGCACAGATGCAGCGCTGCGGGTTGCAAATTCTGCGGGTTGTGAATGTGCCTCCCGCACGGATCACGTTCGCAACCCGAGCGTCCACTGTATTTAAAAGCATGTTTCCAACAAAATTTAAAATTCGGCTTTGTAATTCGGAATTTATGTGATGTGATTTAATTTGATTTGATTGGCCGGTTAATAAAAATTATTTTTAAAAATAAAAAAATAAAAGCATGTTTCTTTATTTGCTTCTTGAACTCCACATTGAAAATCTAAATTGATTGCAACCCTCAAAACTGACCCAACAAATTGAACAGAGATTTGGCAGTGGGGTGTGTGTGTGTGTGTGTGTGTGTGTGTAAACATAATTCAAATTATTGTAAACAATATAGTTTTATGCTTTTACTTCAATGTTACTGTTCTGTGGAAATGGATTGTAAGTTGGCATTAAGAAGAATATTGTTACTGAAAAGTCCCATAGGAGGGGGGGGGGTTGTGTGTGTTTTTTTAGGTGAAAGAACAGAAAGAGGAAACAGAAAGGGGAAATATTAGTAATGTGGTTTTCATTTGGCCCTGTCTTTTGATTTGAGAGATTTTGTATGAATGGTTTGCATTACGGACCTAAAAGGCAGGAAATGCGGGCTTGCTGGCTGGAATTCCTTTTCATAGCTGTCCTGTTTGCTAAGGAGGCTCACCAAGAGCGCTTCCAGGTGACGGGCAGTTTGGTGCTCATGGGCAAAATCAGAGCAGTAAGCGAGGCAAAACAAAAAACAGGTACTTTGGAAAATGAAAGATTTTACTGGGTCAGAGCAGGAGTCCTCTGTGCAGCTTGCAAAAGTTGCACGAAGATTCTCATTTTAAATATACATTTCTAAAGGTATTTTCTCCCAAACATGCCTTTTGATAAACATGCATTGATAAACTGGAATTTAGAGGCAGACTGCTTCCAGCAGAGGAGGTACTGAAAGTGTAAACACTGTTGGATAGCTCAGTTCTGGTCTGAAAATTAATCTGGGATGTGCCAATCAGGTCAGTTTGATATGACAATTTGACAAAGTTGATTTTTTAAAAGGTATCATGGGGATTCAATGGGATGGGTTGAAGCCCCCAATAAGTATTGGTTGTGGAGTTCGGTTGTGTTTAAATGCATGTCTTTCCCTCTGCAAAACCATTACCGTATTTTGGCACACCGAATCAAGCGGGCACAGTCCCGCGAGCCAAATTCCTTTCCCCTCATTGTGTCCACATTTGTTGGGTATATTGGGGTATATTGGACCCAGTTAAAGCAGTATCTACCACTATTATAATTGGAACAGGGCTTGTAGCAGCAGTGTGCTCATTGATAGATGGAACATAGAGGTGTTTAGGGATTTACGAACGTGCTTCATTCTGACCTGACATTCATTTACACTTTGGTGCCTGTTATTTCCTTGCGCTGCAGTTTTCCAGTGCACATCCCCGCATCTTTAAAAATCTGTGCCTGCCTTTATATATTCCCATCAAAGCTTGGCTTACGAGATTTACTACCAGTCGGAATCTTTGCCCTTTAGTCATTGATGGAAAACTGTTGTTGACTCTCTCTGTTTGTGTGTGTTTGTGTAAGTGTAGCAGGATGCTGGGTTTAAATGAATGCTGCAAAGGATCAATAATTGCTGCAGTCAGTTCATAAAGCCATAAAAAGGCTTCACTCTGATATGACATTGAAGTAAGAAATCCATCAATCATTTTACCTTAGCTAGAACTATACTTTTATAGCAGGATAAGGGTTGCTTTTCCTGGGGAATAGTCGTTGGAAGCAGCTTGATAATTTCATGCTGGGCCAACAAGCAATTGTCAGGGTTGCCTCCTAGATACACTGTGGAGATACCCACTTTGAGGAGCATGTCCACGAAGAATAATTGGCCCTAGCAAGGAACCCTTTTCAGCCAAGTGTTGTGGACAACATCCCGAGAACTGGGTGGCAGTGGTGGGCAGGGCCAGAGACCAAAGTGGGTGGAGTAATGGAGGTAAATTTCACCACTGCACAGTAGGTTGATTCCCAAACACACTCAAACACCCCTCTCAATCCCCCATCCAGACAAGTGAGAGGTATTAAGGGCACATTCAAGTCAGGCAAAAACACTTGGGGGGGGGGAGTAAAGCAGAGCCAGGTAGTGGTATAACAAGGAGAGGATATGGAGGACCAGATAGACCTGGAGGACCAGTTCCAGTTGCATCTTTTGCATCATTGGGAAGCTCTTTGGAGGTCCTGCCTTGTAGTCTCTCCTCGTGAAATCCAAGGGAAATAATAAAATCCATGCCTTTGGCTTCTTGTAAAGGTAAAGGGACCCCTAACCATTAGGTCCAGTCGTGGCCGACTCTGGGGTTGCGGCACTCATCTCGCTTTATTGGCCGAAGGAGCAGGCGTACAGCTTCCGGGTCATGTGGCCAGCATGACTAAGCCGCTTCTGGTGAACCAGAGCATCACACGGAAACGCCGTTTACCTTCTCGCTGGAGCGGTACCTATTTATCTACTTGCACTTCATTCTTTTGAAGTGCTGGGTGGGCAGGAGCAGGGGCCGAGCAACGGGAGCTCACCCCGTCGCGGGGATTCTAACCACTGACCTTATGATCAGCAAGTCCTAGGCTCTGTGGTTTAACCCACAGCGCCACCCATGTCCCCTTGGCTTCTTGTACGAACCATAAAACCCTGTCCAGTCCTTTCGTTGTAGCTTATTAAATTAGCACACTACCCTTCATCCATAGATCTCAGGGCGGTTCACAGCATAGAAATACAAGATAAAAACACAAAATACATGATAAAACAACCCAGTAACACCCCCTCCTCTCACTGCTTCCCTTCAGTCCCCAGGTAAGGGGAGAGACATTTGGACCCTGTACCCCTTTTGGAGCAGAACTTGCTTTGTGGCATGTGGACAACCACCACCACTGGTCCAAGGCCACCGTTCACACTATTCCCAGTCTTGCTTAGCTTCAGCCACGTTGCTACATGACATGCTTTCATGCCAATAGATCTGGGCTGCTGTTAGCAGGAACAGCTCCATGGGAAGCAAGGAACAATTAAGAGTTCAGAATGGCAAAGAACAGCAATCTCTTGGAAATGGGAGAACATTTTGGAAATGGTTTTATTGCAAGACATAGTTCTCTGCTTCCTGGAGGCCTGTGTTGGTGGGATGGGGGTGGATGGTACTCTTCAGATATAGCTGCTTTGGGCTGAGAGAGTTTAAACGAGTGAAAGTTTTCACCATTTCTCCCCCCCCCCCTCCAGAGACTCACAAACCAAAGGCTCTAGTAGTTCATTTTTTTTAAGCATTGCCCGTTGGGAGATCTTGTGGCTGATGGGCTGTGCTTTCTCACCAGATGTTCTCCTTTACTGTAGATGGAAGCCACAATTTTGTACTGACTTAGTCATGATGGATCTGTGTTCGAAATATTAGTGGGCGGGGCTGGGGGGGAAATGAATTGACTGGAACAGGCTCATAGAGATTTGGAAATCAGGCAGAATTGAAATAAAGCCTTCAGCTCTCTCTCTCTTTTTTCTTTTTTTAAAAAGAAGAAGAAAATGTCCTATTGTGTTGTATTTTCCAGATCGTGGCCTCATTGTGTAAGAAGACAGAGTTGCTCAATTATTGAGTAGGACACAAGTCTACTACAAGATCAGTCTTTGTTTCTGCACAATGAACCCAAGAAATCTGGAAATCATCAACAAGAGAATTGAGATTATTTATTTGAGCGTCTATTTGTTTTATTAAGCGCATTTCTATCCTGCCATTCCCCCAAAAGCTCAGGGCTCTGTATGAGACATCTCATTCTTCAGACTGTTTCAAACAACTGGTGACCATCAAGCAATCAGCTTGAAGGGTGTGCAGGGCTTGTACATTTTCCTGCTAGAAATAATGTGAAACTTGGTCATTAACCAGTCATATCTAAATAGACTCATGGATGCCATGAAACATCTTGGAATGCACAGTGAATTTGGTTAACAAAGGAGTTGATTGATTAAGTAGCTCCCATGCAGCCATGTGCTGAAGCACATGTCCTGGTGTGATGTGGTGAAAATCGTTATTTTCTAAGCTTTTTAGAGAGTCAGGCCACTGGTCCATCTAACTCAGTATTGACTTCAGTGACTTGCAGTAGCTATCCAGGGCTTTGGGTTGCCACAGATTGCCCTGCCACAGATTGAAACTGAAACCTTCTACATGTAAAACAGATGCTGTTAACACTGAAGTACAACTTCCATCGCGGGGTCTATGCATATAGCCACTGTGGTTTGTATGACTGTGTTGTGCTTCTTTAAAGGCCCCTGTGCAATTTTTCAAGGCGAAAGATGTAGTCCCTGTGTGGAGTTTCTTCAGCCAGTACCTCCTCATGGGTCTGAGTAAGGCTGCATGTTCTCTGGGAGCCTTGAATACTCCCAGAGGTAATTGTAGACTCATAGAATTGAAAGGGACCTCGTGGATTATGGAACGCCGTCCCATCAGATGTCAAGGAAATAAACAACTATCTGACTTTTAGAAGACATCTGAAGACAGCCCTGTTTAGGGAAGTTTTTATTGTGCTTTTAATTCTTTTGGGAGCCGCCCAGAGTGGCTGGGGAAATCCAGCCAGATGGGTGGGGTATAAATAGATTATTATCATTATCATTATCATTATCATTAGTTCAGTTCCTTGCAATGCAGGAATATGCACCCATACGGGAATCAAACCCATGACCTTGGTGTTGTTAGCACCAAGCTCTAACCAGCTGAGCTAACCAGTGTGTCAGGCCTCTGGCTGTATGTCTGTAGTAACCAAGGCAGTGAATATGGGGTTGACCAGAACCAGACTTGAATATTTATTTGTATGATGTTGCCAGGAAATGCCGCCATGCTATCTGCAGCATATATCTCACCCCAGACGGCGCTCCACTTTTAGGGTTTCAAATACGAAAGCTGGCGTTTCTGAAAACAGGGACTTATGTTACAATAGTGCCTTTGGCTGCTTGGATTGTCTTTTTACAGTGTCTCACATCAAGTTGCTTTCTTCCTCCTCTGCTGCTGGAACATTATTCCTTCTGTTTCCAATGTTCAGGCATCCATGTGCCAGATAGAGGTATCAGCAGGCTGTAGGGAACTTGTCCAGTTCCTGAGATCAGGAAGGCTATAGCTTGGAGCTGTTGCAATGAGGCAGCTCAGGGAACTTGCAAAGGAGCTGAAGTTCTCCACCCTTTCCTGAGAAATCGTCCCAGATAATATAAGTCTATTTTTGTTTATCTCAGTTTCTTCTCCAATCGTAAGTTCAGTTCTCCACATCAGTTTGTAATTATTATTATTATTATTATTATTATTATTTAAAAAGCAGCCCTTGTGAAAGTTCATCAACATTTCTCCTAATACACACAATTTTCTATCATTTTTGCAAACAGGTTATCCTCCATGTGGTGCATATCTGTATGTTATTTGCACAATATATGCATTTTAATGCACATTTTGTTCCGATATATGCATTTTTGTGTACGTTATTTGACTGCATTATGGAATTTGGAGAAGTGCAAATTTTGATTGATGTCTGTGCTTTAGTTCTCAAATAGTTTCAGAGAGTGTGAATTGGGGAGACTAGCCTTTAAATATGGTCTGAAATGTGCATCCGCTATAAGCTTTGCAGATAGCTCAGTTGGTTAGAGTGTGGTGCTGATGACACCAAAGTTGAAAGTTTGATCCACATAAGGGACAACTGCATATTCCTACATTGCAGGGGGTTGGACTACTGATAATCCACTGATCCCTTCCAACTACTGATCCACAGGATCCCTTCCAACTCTGCAGTTCTGTGATTCTATAATCAGAAGTGTTCTGGTGAAATTTTCAGCGATGGCTTTCGATAGCCTTTTCTACACAGATTTTTTTGTTGCCATTGCATCCTTTCTTGCTTTCTTTCAGCGAGGGTTTGATCTGCCCCACATCTTGCACTTTTTCTAGATCTTTCTAGTGCCACACAGAAGCCATTCTAAGAGAACAGCGGGATATTTTATGAAGACACCCTGACAGTCTATTTTTACTGCATCATGAATTTACAAAATGTTCTTCCAACATCTTTGCTACGAGTTATTGTGAAAGATTTAAAGCTCTAAAGTCCAAGAATTCTTAGTAAGTCGTCACTACAGAAGCAGAGGGTAGGGGGAGATATTCTCTCTCTCTCTCTCTCTCTCTCTCTCTCTCTCTCTCGTTTTTGTTTAAAAGCACATGATTAATGTGTCAAGCGAAATATGGTGGCAGCGTATTTTGGGAGCAAGTTGGCGGTCTCAGCGCTAGGCACCAGGAGTCTTGAACCAATTACTGGGCACCTTATTTCTCTCTTCCTTCAGAGAAATTTTCCAGGAGAAGAACATGTTCTCTGCTGCACTTAAGTACCATAGATGTGTTTTACAGAATCCCAGAGTCGGAAGGGTCCTCAAAGGCCATTTCTCTTACTGAAAAGCCAAAGTTGTCCAGAGCAACTGTTGGTGTGATGACAGCCCCCTTGCAGCCTTTATCTTATCTAGCTGGTTCTCTGTCCTTTAGAATTAGCCTTTCTCAGAAACAATGTCGTCAAGTATTGAGAAATTGTGGTATCAGTCTGGTTCAGAGCAAAGAGTTTTGACGCACATTGTTATTGGGGAAGTCCTTTGATTTCCCTGATTGATAGCACTTATCCTGCTCCCAATCTCCTTTTATCAGCATAATAGAATCACAGGATTGTACCCATGCTTAATTCTTTATTGTGCACAGATATACCCACTTGTGCCCTAAGAAAATCTATTGGAGATCTTCCACCAAGGACCCCCTTATTCTGTTTTTTTTTAAATAATATTTATTACTTTTCCGACAATTTAAACACTAAAAAAACAATACCATACAATACATTAAATTAACAAAACAAAAACAATAAAATAAATCAAACAATTTCATTATCCCATCTTTCATTTACTTATTTCCACGACCTCCTCACACCTCCCTTTTTGTATTCCACTTCTGTTAATTATTTCAGCAATTCCTTTCCATCTTCCTCTGTTTTCTATCCTATAATTATCTTAACTCATTCTAACCTTATTTTTTCCTTTAATACTCTATTAATCTATTTATACTTAATTCCTTATAACCTTTCTACTAAAGCCATATAACTTCATTCCAACATTTTTCTAACATTCATTAATTTTACAGTATTTCTGTAAATAGTCTTTAAACTTTTTCCAGTCTTCTTCCACCGACTCTTCTCCCTGGTCTTGGATTCTGCCAGTCATTTCCGCCAGTTCCATATAGTCCATCAACTTCATCTGCCATTCTTCCCGGGTGGGTAAATCTTGTGTCTTCCAATATTTTGCGATGAGTATCCTTGCTGCTGTTGTTGCATACATAAAGAAAGTTCTATCCTTCTTTGACACCAATTGGCCGACCATGCCCAGGAGAAAAGCCTCTGGTTTCTTCAAAAAGGTATATTTAAATACCTTTTTCATTTCATTATAAATCATCTCCCAGAATGTCTTAATCCTTGGGCATGTCCACCAAAGGTGAAAGAATGTGCCTTCAGTCTCGTTACATTTCCAACATTTATTGTCGGGCAAATGGTAAATTTTTGCAAGCTTGACTGGTGTCATGTACCACCTATAGATCATTTTCATTAAGTTTTCTCTTAGGGCATTACATGCCGTAAATTTCATACCTGTGGTCCATAACTGTTCCCAGTCGGCCATCATTATGTTATGTCCAACATCTTGTGCCCATTTAATCATAGCTGATTTCACCGTTTCATCCTGAGTGTTCCATTTCAACAGCAAGTTATACATTCTTGACAAATTCTTAATTTTTGAATCTAACAATTCTGTTTCCAATTTTGATTTTTCCTCCTGGAAACCAACTTTTTTGTCCAAATTGTATGCCTCCATTATTTGATAATAATGGAGCCAATTTTGCACTTTATTTTTCAATTTTTCAAAGCTCTGCAATTTTATTCTGTCTCCATCTTGATCCAGAATTTCCCAATATTTCGGCCTGGACCCCCTTATTCTGAAGCACAGAGGGTGGCAATGGACGGGGGCTTGTCAGTGGTGGCCCCCTTGTTTGTGGAATGCTTTCCCTGATGAAGCTCACCAGATGCCTCCTTTAATGTACTGTTGTTGCCTGACAATCACCTCCTTCTTCCAGGCCCTCTTTTAAGTTGTTTAATGTTATTCTAACGTGGTTAAATTTGGTCTCTGCTTGATCTGAGGATGATTAGTTTTCACTTGCATTTGAGGTTTAAGTACTTATTTGATTGTAGTGGTGTTGGTACTTGTTGATTGGTTGTGCTATTCAGAATCGTTTGGAGTTTTTGCTGGTATTTTGATATGCGTTACTTTTTGTTTGATAATGTATTGTACGTTACCTCACTGCTCCTTTTTGTGAGCCAACTGATTAATACAACAAGTAAATAAACAACAGAACCCTGGATGCCTTTTAAAATATAGTTTATTTGAAGGAAAAGCTGCCTCACAATTTGTGGAAGAAGCGAGGAGGGAAAGGTATGCTTAACCCTTTCCCCACCTGCCATTTCTGAGCACCAAATACAGTGGTACCTCGGGTTACGAACTTAATTCATTCCAGAGGTCCGTTCTTAACCTGAAACCGTTCTTAACCTGAGGCACGCTTTTGCTAATGGGGCCTCCTGCTACCGCTGCACCGCCGGCGCGTGATTTCTGTTCTCATCCTGGGGCAAAGTTCGTAACCCGAGGTACTACTTCTGGGATAGCAGAGTTTGTAACCCAAAGCATTTGTAACCTGAGGTGTTTGTAACCCGAGGTGCCACTGTACCCATTTCCTTGTGTTGCTTTTCTTCTCTCTCTCTGCATGTGTTCCAAACACATATTTGCAAAGGGTGAATACATGGTTTGAACGCAGTGGGAAGAAACGCAACTCTCTGTGGCAATTTGGAATGGAGAAGAGGCAAATGGGAAATGAGTGATATCCCTATCTCCTCCCCTACTTCTCCATTACAAATCAATCTTGCTCAGTGTGTCTTTTCCATATACAAACAAAATACTATAAAGGCTTCATTATCTGCAGTTGCCATAAATATAGTTAGGCTTGATCCAGTATATAAGGTGTCACTTTACCTCTTTTCTTATCACATTAAGGCTTAAAGGGAAGTTTCCCACTTCTTTTAAACAGAATACCTCCAGGATCTCATTCTGTCCCTCTTTGAGTTCTGCTTCACCGTACTTTTCTGTGTATAAGACTGTGTATTTTTACTCCTTTTACCTAAAGAAAAACTCAACAACTCTGGGCAATCCTCCCAAAAAAAGCTCAACTCTGGGCTCATCAACAACTAAAATTTTAGTACCCAAAAAATAGAGGGCGTCTTATACATGGGGACGTGTTATACACTGGGAAATATGGTAATTAATTGCATTACTTGTTAGTTAAACTCCTTTGCTTCCAGCTGACCTGCATGTGCCTGGCAACAGGCAACTTCCAGTCTGCAGAAAGGTGTGTTTTTTTAATAGCCTGCCCATAAATCGGGTAAATGGAATTTGCAAACTTTCTGTACTGGCTACCTCCTATCTTTATATTCTTCTTCTCATCTCCTCAGTCCCATCTGTTACGTAACTTTGATTGCTTTCCTTTCACCTACATATATCAGATGGAACCGGATTACCGTTTGCAATGCAGCTACTGCTTGAAGTGTTGGCTGTAACCATGGAAGGACCATCTTCTTTGAACACCCCACCTGTGTGGCGGAGTCCTGTCCCGATCACAGGCAGGAATG